TGGGACGGGGATTCGAACCCGCGACCCTCAGATTGCGAGTCGAACGCCCTAACCACCTGGCCATGCCGGGCCTCCAACTTAAGGAAAACGCTTTTTTATGATGAAAAGTAAGTTCGCGAAATACCACAAAAAAATGGTCGTATTCAAAATGACGTTGTGCACCATTTCCTTTTATGAACAAAGCACGTACATAAGATTTTTATGTGGAAATTGGTGCAAGGTTGAGTTTAGTGAATTTGTTTCTTTAATCTTTTTTGGGCTCTAAAAACTGTAACATGCGTCCTTAAGAAAGTTCTGAGATCTGAAAATCAATATTGCTCATTTAGGTCCTGTAAGAAAAAGTAAAGAGGCGATGGGTATCTGAAGAGCTGTGTGGGCGTCTTCTAAGACGCAATCTCGTCATACCATTGTAAACAGACAGAATAATATAATACATAATCTTAAAACGTGACACATATTTGAAATGTGTGTCTGAAGTTAGTTGTAAAAGCTTTAACTGCTTGGCGTTATAATGGCCTTCAAACTATATTATCCCCCGCAGTGGCACAGCGGAATGTCTGCGGACTTGCAACGCAAGAAACCGGGTTTCGTTACCCGTGGTGGACAGAGCACATTGTGTTGCTTTGTGCTTAACTTCAAACAAACAAACCATAACAAAGTTAGGAGGAAAGTATAATAAGTGTTCAGTTTTTAAAGAAAAAAGGGAAGTAGCATTTGACTCGTTTGGTAATTTGCAAAAAAAAAATCGAAATGAAATATAAATAAATATACAAAATGGCTAAATAAATTTGTACAAAAACAAGTTAGGCGCGGGTTTGCTCTGTAGTTGGCGCCCTGGGTTCGAACCTATGCTATACTACAAAACATTCCTATTCCTCCAATTAAAATTGTCTGTACGTTAAAGGAGTGAAAATAGTTCCCTTAGCGTGAATGGTGGGTGATAGGATGCGGCTGACTAACTGTTTTCACTCTGATCCGTAGTTCAAAATTAGAAGCGGAGGCAGATAGCCTCAGCAGCTTTACCAAACATACAAACCCAATATTTTTGAGAAAACTAAAAGTTTAGAGAAAAGCAAGGGAAACACGTGTCTTTCATTTATGTATCTCCAAAATTTAAAGATAAATAAAACTAGCTGTTAAACAATTTGCGTCCCTTAAAGCCATAAGTGTTAATTACAAAATTTGAATAATATTTCTAACCAGTTGCGAAACTCTGCGACAGTGAGATTATAGAGTCAATTTAGAACCGGGAGTGAACTACTTCCAATTAAAATTATATTGCTATCCAATTAAGAAACACTTGCTATTTAAGAGTCACCGTACAAATACAATTTTTAAGTACTCAAATTTAAAAAAAAAACTTTTATAGCTAGCTACAAATCAGTTGTAATTGCAGCGCCACCTTCCCACTCTAAATGATAACCATACTTATTTTTTAGTCTGAAATGCTGTACTAAACCTAGTATTCGTAAAACATAAAACTTACGCTTAATCATTCCTGAATGTTCTCTGCTTATGTTTTCTGAAGAGTTACTCACTCTTTTCCTGTCAGAACAGCAAATGCGTTATACGTTTCACTTCCAGTTAGATTCTGTGAAGAAGAACTGGAGTTAAACACATTGAAATCATTGAGAGGTAAGTGTGGCTTTCACTTCACTTGGTCATTCTATTCACAAATTCTCAATTTTCTTAGATAGAGTTCTGATCTAGAAGTTTGAGACCCTAACAAGAAATAAAGCTAATGAATAAAATTTGTAATTTTGGGATATTAACATACACAGGTTTTAAGTAGACAGTAATTGGTTGAAAAAAAGTAGCTAGCAATAAAATACAATAGAGCACAAGAAATACAAGAATATTTTGAATGAAAGAATAGAACAGTTTCAACAGACGTCAAGATGGTTAAAGAATTGAATATTGTAGTGAAAGATATGAGTTATATAATCAACAAACTTCATATTGTTTAGATAACTGTTAGGGGTGCGTATCTCATCATACTATAGTCGATAAGATACGTATCTAGATACAGAAGTTTTACCAATGGTTTGTTACAAAGTTTAACAGTCTTGTTTGTAATTTATTATCTATATTATTAACATTGTCATTTTTAAGTACTTCATACTTTACAATGCTTTTTCAAGTTCTAAGGTCTGATCAACTAAGTGGCAACTGGCAAGAGAAGTAAAATATCTGTCTATCTATTTTGTTATTGTTATGATACTTTGCATGTACTCGTATCGTATCGCTGTATCGCCACACCTTTAATAACTGTACATATTAATTCAGAAAGAGATATTGATTGTAAAGTTGTGACAGTCTTAGAATAAACAGACTCATAATGTAAGGTCAGTAACGCAAATAGTGTCGAATCTGTTTAGAGCAAAGCCACATTGAGCTATCTGCTGTATCCGCCGTTGGATATCGAACCCCAGATTTTAGCGTTGTGAGTCAGGAAACTTACTGCTGTACCACCGGAAGACGTGCCGAAGTGGAAGGGATCGTTGCCAAGACTGTAATAATTCTGGAATCAATTGACTTATCGATGTCAATATTACTACTGTACAGGTTGACTGCTGAAGAAGTCATGATTATAGTAATCCGAAAATCAACATATTCCACACATGTTAAAACTACTACTGTATTGAATGCTGGAAAGGAACATACGGATATCAATTACTACTGTATTGAGTGCTGGAAAGGAACATACGGATATTAATTACTACTGTATTGAGTGCTGGAAAGGAACATACGGATATCAATTACTACT